CTTTTTTTTTTTTAAACCAGCACAGTCAAATGATTTGTAAGGAACACAAACATTTTTCTATGAAGGCCAGGGTATGAAAAAAAAAAATAATATAAAAACAATCTTTTTTTGCTCTATCACAAGAGCCACGACATCCAAACACTTTGAATGGCTCGTTTGAAAGAGCGTCTCAACAAATGTTTTGGCAGAGGGCTTTGGATCTTTTCTTTGTTGTCAACTGTTCACAAAGTATTTTCTCTCTCAGAGAACACACATTTTTACCTTTTCAATATCCAACATTTAGCCATATTCTTATATAGATTTCCACTCTTGTTACATGTCCATTAAAGCTCATGTCCGCATGCAGGCAGATTATAGTTCAATACATAATAATGAATAGGCGAAACCTTGCAAAAGTAATTTACTTTTTTTAAATTAGTTTACGGCAGATGCACAGTTGATCCAGGATAAAGTACTTCAATTGTGTAAGTACTCTCTAAAATGGGCAATAAACATAGGACTACTTTGGACAAATATATTGTTACAAGGATAGAAATGTGAAGAAACGGAACACTAGACACTGTTCAGATTAAGAGTAATCTGAAATAAGGGGAAAGGATGAGGTAAGGCATGTGGTGTACAGAAAGTGTTTATTTTTACTGTCCCTTTTCCTCTATATTCTCACTACGGCCTCTTTCTTCATGTACAAAACATTTCTAACCTGCTGTAATACTTTAATGCAGGGGTGTCCAAACTACGGCCCGGGGGCCAAATGCGGCTCGCGGACCATTTTGAATCGACCCTCGGCTAATTCAAAAAGTATAATGGAATATGGCCCACAAATGAACTTTGTACTTCTTATATATATATATTGTGTAATATATGTACACATGTGTTAATAAGACCACTTTTCAAATAAGTTCAGTCACTTAAAGTTGGAAACATTCTCTAACATGTCTTAGTTGATAAGAAAAAAGCCCAATGACTTATTTACATAACAAGCTTGAAATAAACCCTTCCTATTTCTCCTTATTATAATCAATGTGAGGCTTCTGTTTTAAGGGATGAGCTGCCAACACTCACAATCATAATTTACCTACATTTGATTGATTTTGATAACTTATAACTGAACTTATGAGGCAATATACCTCCAGTGAGTGGCCTAGCCCTTCGTATATTTTTCTGTATGTGGCCCTCGGTTTGGACAGCCCTGCTTTAATGTGTTTGTCCACTGTTCCTGCACACAATGCTAGAAGAAGTCATACAACCAATACGACCAGACTTATGTTGAAGGCCCTGTGCATCTGTGTACATTTAATCCCAGAGTGAACAAACTCAATTTCCTGGGGATAAATAATGGGTCTTCTTCTTGTCATTTGTCACAGTGAACCTCTTTATAGATCTCTTTAAGTCAAATCTGGCACACGTTGTCACAGAGTCTTCTCACTTCCCCCCTGTGGTGCCATCCATCCACCAGAGGCCCTCAGTACTCTCTCACCTGTTTCCTCTTTCAGCCCTGTAGTAAAACCTGACCCATTTCCACTCATTCAAAGCCAGAGTGCTACCAACGCTATAAACGCCTGTATTTCCAAACAGGGATACATCAAGTTCACTCTTATTTTATGTGTATGCCTTTGCTTTGCAGACAGCTGAGCCTGTTCCTGTTTGTTGTTCCTGATCTGCTCACCTGTCATCCTCGTTGGATTTGTGTTCCTGTTTCCAACCGACAGTATAAGCCTGTTCCTGACCACCAACACAAGTCCATTTCCCATCATTCTACTTGCTTGCATTGTGTTTCAGTCCTCCTCCTGTCATTGTCAGATGTTACCGTTTTTTTCCCTCGTTGTTAAATTAATATTAACAGTTTTATAATGATACATGCACACTATAAAATACAGTATGCACACATGACACACTATATATCATGTTGAAGTCTTTCTCTGCAAGACATAGTGACACTTTTATATCAAGATGTACAATATTTCTATGGTGGTGTTTCTTTTAGCATAGTTAAGACAAACAGTTCTGCACATTTTTTGACAAAGGATACACTTGTATTTTGAAGCAAAGAGATCCCCCCCCCAGAAGAATATGAAGCAACTTCTTACATGGAGTCCTAAATGACCACAATACTTCCTGCCAAGAACAAATTGAGTTTGTTCACATGAGATTTTTCATTTGGTTTTCTCACGGGTTCAAAGTGAATGGGGTCAGTTAGACACATGTGTCATGTACATCCCAGCACCATCAGTATTTACTAAGGAAAATGTGATAACAGTTGTTGGACTGTCAATCAACTGTGTTAGAATAACTACCTTTCACTTCCTGAACTATGTAGCTTTTTACTGATGTATTGCATTCAAACCAAGATTAGGAGCTTTTGAAGGTCAAGACTGCAGATCAAATCAAGCTGTTAAGTGCATGAGGAAATATTTTGCATGGGCCTAAAAGCTCCCTTTCATGCAGGGACTTCATCCTGTTCAGGCAACAGCTTTTACAGTCAATGGGGACATTTAGGGGGGGTCAGCGGGGGCTTTCTTTGGCTGCACCTAATGGGTCCAAAAACCAAAACCATGCACATGAAAATGTCAACCGTTTGCATGTTAATGTCGAAAAACAAAACCTGTCTGAGATCATTCTGCAAAGACAATCAGAGAACAGCATGAGTTTTGCAGATGCTATACACAACAGATCTGATGAGTCTCAGTATGTGGTTTGTCTGTGTGTTCTTCACCATGATCATTATTGTGACACTTGTACACACGTGGTCAGCGATTGACCGCACAGATAACTATTTGAAGCTTTTGCCATGACTCAGCGTTTCCTCTTGACACATTGTGTTTTCAAAACCCTCATTAGCTTGATGTAGCTTGATTACCAGAGATACTTTCTAATAGACGTGTAGACAAAGTTTAAAATGACTTTATTGCAACTTACGACAGGATAGAACTTAGGCTGCTTTATAAAAAACTGTTGGAATAAAGAGCAAGACATCCTGTACATCCTGACATGACACAAACAGGATGATGAGAAACAAAGCTTAATTGAGCAATGTGCAGGATGCATGGCTCTGTCTAACCAGCAACAGTATTGCGTAGATATTTGACATTTTTCTAAGGACAGAGTAAGAAGTTTCTTTGTTCGAGGCTTCAGTTTGCCAGCAGTCTGCTCTTAAGAGCAACGTCGACATAAGTGGTTATTTAAAAGATGTCCAGCTAAATGTCAGCGCAGCAACAAGTCCTGCCTTTGCTGCATGGACTGGATATATATTTACAGCAGTCACAGTCTTTAAAGAAGTCCTGTATCAATATTTATTAAAACTGATTAATTTTCATTATGAAGGCTCATGCACAGCTTCAAATGCTTAGACAGGTGCGTAGGAGGAAACGTCCATAGGTGAGAGAAGAGAAAACTCTTGCATGCTGTCCTTTTTCTTGCAATGAACTTGATTTAAAAGTCTAGACTCCATGCATTACTATAAATTAGACAGTATATATAGCATTAAATGACCCTTTTAATATGGATCTGCATCTATCTGTCAGTACATGAACTATGGACATATTGGCTTTCTTTAAGACATGATGGTTTCGTTTTGAAATAAGAATCTGTGATGCAAGGTCATTCTTCACATTTATGTTTTTATATTTATTTGTTTGTAACTTCAAGCTTACAACGCTGGTTGGTAACTTGTGAATGAGATACACCTTTATTAGAAACATAGATTTTCACAATGGACTATTGTTTGTCAATCAGTCTTTTGTAGAACAGTTTATACTTTATTTTTGACTCAATCATGTTTCATTTAAAAACAGTGTAGCCATTATGATGAGTCTTTACAAATATGAGGAGGGGCTCAGAGATTTGCTAAAACATAGCCTGTTGTAAGAGACGAAATGATCATTAACAGAGATACAGAGCATGGGAAGTATTTTCATTTCAAGGTGGCTACAGCCCCTGTGTGTAGGATGTTTATGTGGTTATACCATTTCATTCTGAAAACAGTTTGTAGAAAAATGAAGCAATCCTGGTGCACATTGCTGCAGGACGCTGTCGTCAGTACCCCCGATCCATTTATATTACCATTTGGTGGCGCCGAAGTCTGTTTTAAGTATTTAAGAGTTGGATTTACAGAAGCATGAGGAGTTGCCAAATTATGCCAATTCCCAGACCGTCATCTGCTGATCCTGCTCTCCAGCTAGAATAAAAACAGCAGCAGAAAGACTCAATCCAAACAAACACCGGACACTCTTACTGGAGCACACAGGTGTAGAGTTCTCATGGCAGGTCATGTAGCTCACGTACACACAAACACACCAGAACCCCCCCTAAAATTAATAATGTACTGGAACCAAAACCCCTGTCATGGCCCCGTGAGCTGTTTCCTTGTTTTGAAACAAGTCAGTTTGTGAAGGGTTTTATCAGTGTAAGACAGACGTGTTAACAATAAGCAATAAGTCTAGGTTGAACAGGTTTTCTCCTAACTTGTATATCAGGGAACATAAACGGTCAACCTCCTGCAGAGAACATATTGCATTCAACAGTGAAACCAACTTTTAATAGTTTTATTTTTACACCAATCCGCATTTGTAATGCTTTGGGGAAGTTCGATTAGCTTCTAGGTTGTCAACCTATTACAGATGTTCATCTTTTGCAGCTTATCTGAATGTCTAACCCTTTTTTTGGTCCCACTTACTTTGCATGTTAACCACAGCATTAAATTATTTCAGATAAGCCTTTTAGTAGTGTCCTTCTATAATTGGTCTTTTAGTTTGAAGTATTCTTATAATTTTGTTATATACTTTATTTTTATTTATTTTTTACATTTAGTGTTTGATATTTTGGATTATTTATGTATATATATTATATATAAAGCACTTTTTGAACATTAAAGCATGTGAAGATGTCACAATACAAATATAAACCTGACAATTAGCATTATAATCCTCTTTATTTCTTCTTCTGTTGTTAACTGTTAAAATAGCAATTATTGAAAGAAGAAAAACATCAATGTCCAAACCATATTCAAAGTTTTGATCAGCAGTCTTTATTGAAAGTGAACCTTAACAAAAACAGTGCAAAGTTAGTGCTCATGAAACGAAAATGACAGCCTGCGACGAAAGTTAAAAGAGTGAAGTGAAACACAGATGACTCAAAACTTTAGTCTATGTTTATCCTTTCCTGTGCATCTTTCAAATGTTCTCGCTCATTTGAAGACTTAATGCCTGTCAGATATCCTTTAGTCAGTGCTCTGAGTGGAAATACCTCAGTCATATTATTCATGAAAAAGGTTAAATGAGAGGCTTTTTCATACAGTACATTCAGTGTTCACTGTCACCTATACATTTATTGAATTCACAGAAGTAAATGTTCAAAGCACAAGTTCTTAATCAAAACAGAGTATATGTACATGTCTCAAAATAAGTGTGAATTTTAATCTCTAAAGTAAAATATGTTGGAAAACTTGTATTTATCTTTTTATTATTTGCATTTTCAGAAATTATTTAATGACATAACAAAATAGACACAAATAAATACATAGATTAACTACATATCAAACGACAAAGAAACTGCAAACTTTTTTATAGGCAAATACACTACATGTAAAAATGAACACACACTATTATATGAGTATGTAAAGTATATGTAAAGCATCACTTTCATACTTGTTTGTCTGCAATATGTTGAAACGACTGAGGATTTGTTAGCACTCCCATTTCCTTAACCGAGTTATTCAACCTTATGCTATGCTCTTTTTTTTTTGTCTTACTGCACCTCACCCCCACCAGAATGGCACATACATTACATACTCAAGATGACAATCTGTTAGAGAGTGGTTCAAAAGAAATGTGAACTCTCTGGGTTTTCCTGAGTAACAGGAACATGTTAAAGGTTCCTTCTCATTTGCTCACACTGGGCACATGAGGAACAAAGTGTTGGGGCTGAAGTGAAGATTTATTCTTGTTTAGGAGACACTTTATTTGAATGAACTCACCCTTTTAAAGGTATGAAATAAAATGATGACACCACATGCATGTTGGCTTTTGAAAATGCACTATACAATGATTATAGCTTGTGAAACTGCAACAACTGAATGTCAATATATGAATACAAATAGATCATAAGCTCTACAATGTAAAAGTCTAGATCCCTGTGGTTGCAATTTAAGGTTATTTTCATTATTAATTAACCCGTTTGTTTGTAAAAAGGTGTACAAATAAACTCCATGAATGCTTAAAACCCAAATTGATGCATTCAAAGGTCCTGTTTTGATTGATGAACATAAGACAAAAAAAAATCAGCAAATTCTCACATTTCTGGAAACTTAAAGCATCTGTTTTTTCATATACTGTAGCTTTGGTTAACCCTTATGTTGGGAATGAGATGTTGCTGATTTAAATAACTGTTTGTTTTTCCTCCAGCATCTCCTCAAGGCACTGAATAATAATTGGGTCCACCTTTGGGTCGAACTTATTGGCGAACCAGTGACCATAGTTGAGTAACCAACGCAACTCGCCTGCACCAAAAATGCAAATGCTGCGGACGTGTTTCCCCGAGCATTGTGGGTACAGTGCTTCCTCCAGGTACTCCCACTTCACCAGCCTGGCCTTACTCATGAGGTCAGTGATGTCGGGCTGGGATCTGGGCACCTCTCCAGGAACACCTGGCAGGCGCACAAGGGTTGCCCAGAAGTGTTCGTCTGGAGAGTAGGTGTCCTCTGACCAGGCCAGGAAATCCTTCACCACAGCTAAGGAGTCTATGTGCACAATAAACTCCCGTGACAAGACAAAGTAAGCACTGCCGATGAACATCTCGATGCCGTGTGGAGGTGGCGTCTTCTTCTGCTCTGTTTTCATTGGAAGTTTTTTTAACTCAATTTTGAAATCCATCAGTTTGTAGCTTAAGGTGAACCTTTGCTTCTTGCTCTCACTGGGCCGGCTTGTCTCTAGCATATTGGACCCATTTAACTTCTTCAGTTCTGACACTATCTCAAAGTTGGACCTGAGGGGGAAATCTTGGCCACAGAGGTTGATGACATACTTCCATTGGACTTCCGACTTCAAAAGGTCAGAGAGACAGTTGAGATCTGCTTTCAATCGACTGAAGCTGGCGTAAAAGACGGATTCTCGCTTGGAGGCTATGAAGACATTAGGCAGACAGCGGGCTAACCCCTCCACGGCTGAGATGAACTGTCCTGAGGACTTCTGATCATAGTGGATACAGTAGATGTTACTGGGCGAGTACACCACTTTGATGAGTCTCTCTATCATCAATGCAGATTTATGCACAACAATTGAGTAAGCAAGAGGAAAGTCTCTCTCCTGCTGTGAGACTCGAACAACATCATAACCTCTGGCTTTGATGAATGATGGGCAGTTTGAGGTGAGGTTAATCAGACATTCATCGGTGTCCTCCACAACTTCACGTCTGATGACAAGTGATTTACCCACCTCCACTGGGTCCATGTCATAAATAGCCGGACAGTTAATATTGTACTTTTGATATGCCTGGATGCCATCTAAAGCTGCTTTGGGGGGTAGAGGCTCAGTGATGTTTCTGTACTCCACACTGACCAGCAGCAGTAGACATAGTGTCAGCAGTGACAGGAGTGAACGACAGAATGACTTTCTTCTGAGTCTCGGTAGTGAACATCTTCCATTCATTCTGGAAGCAGAAACCAAAACCACATTTCTTAAATACCCCTTGCGCTCGAATAGAAACTGAAAAGCTATACATTTAGTTTTGACAAAAGAACATACATTTTAATGATTGGATAAACACTCACCCAGGGCCGGCCCGTAGCACTGGCGTTATAGATGTTCGCCTAGGGCGCCAGATCTGGGGAGGCGCTGCGCTGGCAGTTCTGGGAGGGGAAAAAACATTTTTGACCGTTGGTGCTCATCCTAATGTTGGGCCTTGATGTAACAATATTCATAATTAAGTAAATGTAACACCCTTTTCACCCCGGTTACAAGTTTTATTTGCCCTGTACGATGGGCGCTGTAAGTGATGAAAATGGGGAATGTTGGCTTATCTGGCACCCGCAGCTCGCAGCCAAAATGCGAGTGAGCGAGGGAGAGAGGGAGGGTGCACCGGTACCGGCGCTGTTGTTATTAGAATCTGGTGCTAGCTGCTCTAACGGATATAAGAAGAAGATGTTTCTACAATAATGTGGAGGGAGAGTCCTCTCCAGTCAGACTGAGAGGCTGATAACTACAGCTCAGTGAGGTAAAGGACTCGGAGTGTTTAGATAGTTCACTTTAGTCTAAGTTATTACATGTTACTTGTTAGATGCTTTTATCCAAAGCGACTTACATACTCAATACTGTGGGCAATCCCCACAGGAGCAATTTGGGATGAAGTGTCTTCAGGGACACAACGCCATGCTGACTGCAGTGGGGTTTGAACCTGTGCTCCCTGATCCGAACACCTACAGACAACCCACTATGCCACATGCCTATGCCATTATCTCAGTGGGTCTCAAACGGTTTGGTCACAATTTATGTAAACACATATTTCCAAGGCACTCCTTTATAATTATTGGGATAAACAGGTTTGAAATCATTTCAATGTATACTATAGACAGTAAACCAACAATATCATTTAAAACTGGAGAGATAAAACAAAATGCATAAATAAATAAATGTTAACTAGGTCAAATAAGATATAAATGAACAACACAAATAAAATAAGTTACATTTATTTGTTATTGGCTATGGTAGGTTATTGGTTATGTTCACACACTTATTTGATTATTAAAATGTAAACCGATCTTTTTCATAAGGGTGTTTAGAGTTGTACCCCCTAGATCTAGTAGTGATTCTGCTCAAAGTGCACCAGATTGAAGCATTTTACTTTAAAATGTTCAAACATTTCTTCCCGGGGGGGCATACCCCCGGACCCCCCTAGGATGTGACGTCCACCCCCAATTCTATTGCGTATTCCTTGGATACTTGGGCTGCAAATTGTCTAGAGCCGGCCCTGCACTCACCTTGCTTCAAACGCATGTGCCGATTTGCAAACTGTCTCAAATCACTTCCTAAAAGTATAAAGGATAAATCCAGATGTATGGGTTGTGTGTATTGAATGCAGCAAATATGTATTTAGAATTAATAGTTACATATAAATCATAAAGTTCAGGAGCAACTTACCGATGTCAGGAGGAAGAATTTAAATCCTGTGCCATTTTCGCTTTTTACGCACGACTGGTTCAACATCTATTGACGACTTCCACTTGAATCCTCTCTTCATTCATCGCATTCCGAGATGTATTTTGTAACATGATCTATATAAAGCATAAAGAGCCTCAACACGCTGTCTGTCTGCCTTTAGTCGTTGTGTCGGTGCGCTCTCACAAATGAGCCGAAAAGAACGAGGGAGTGGCTCAAAGAAGCGGATAACTGCACTAATTGCATATAAAAGATGCACAAATGTTATCTGGCGTTTCATATGTCACCACAGATGTAAGGCAAATACTATTATTATGTGCATAATATTGTAAAAGTGAATGGAGCTGTGCGTACATTACAAGCTATTCCTAAACGGACATCCATGCAGCTGATTAGAGAGGGGGAATGAAAACCCCGTGGTTTCTGTCATCTGAAATCACTTAGAAATCAATCAAAAAGAATCCAAAGAATCAGTTTCTTTGTATTCTTCCAGGAGTGACAACCTGTCATTACATTGTCAACCAGATCGCGCTATATAATTAGGAAGACTGTACAACAAGTTAACCGTTCAACGGTGCTTAAAACCAACCACGTCTCTAATGTGTCAAATTAGCAGTTATTTGTGAGAAGGGATAGAAAATGCATTATCTAACTTTATCTACATCATGTTATTGGCAGCAGATAAACAAAAACATGGATCAGATTTGTCCTCAGGTTGTTACAGAAACATAGATTTAAGTGTGAATGCATTTTTCATTGTCACCTTTTTAGCCATTTCCAAATATTTCACACTTTATTGTATTGACTTTTAAGTTTACGCAATAGGCCTACATATCATGTGGCAATATTTTTTTGGGACCAACTTTTTTCAGTTTTATATAACGGAAATGACAGTTCAAACACCCGTATAACAAGAGTTCACACATTTTTTGTCGACATGTAATGTGTTTGATAAAGTGGCCCACAACGTGTTACTCAGAGACTGACTGAACTGTCAAACCAGTTTATAACGGACAAGAAAACAAGCGGCTGTGGTTAGCATACAGGATATGAAATATGAAAATTCACTCTGCAGATAGGCTAGCTATGATGTTCAAGAATGGATAGATAGACTTTTGAAAAGTGCTGAAATGATCCTCCAGTAAAGAGAAACTGATGTGATGCACTTCATGTAATTGCACATTGACAGAATCAATATGAATGTTCAGTAATAAACTTCTTGCTCTTTTATTTGTATTAGATCTCTGGAGAGTGAATCTACTGAGATACCGCTGGTCCTTCCTTCCTCCAGCGTTCAGACTATACAACCAGCACAGCCCCAGTAGAACCCCCTAACCCTAACCCCCCCACACACACCACAACACAGACTATAACACCCCTTGCTGTTAAATACCAACCAACTATATTTGCAATATATATATATGCCGTTAAAACTGTGCTATTTATACCTGGCTGCTACATCCTAAAACTGTTACAGGATGTGTATTTTGAAAATGATGTCACTTTTTTTATTTTTTTATTATATTTTTTATTATATCATAACTTAGTACTTTTTAATGCATGTAACATATGTAACATTATGTAACGTTAAGCTGTCTGTGGCTCTTTTTTCTGCTGTAACTACGTACATTTCCCCTCTGTGGGACTAATAAAGGTATTCTGATTCTGATTGGTGGAAAGTAAATACATTTACTCAAGTATTGCATCTAAGTACTTTTTTGATATATTTGTACTTACATTGAGTATTTACATTTATTGCTTCTATATACTTCTACTCCATTACATTTCAGCGGCACATTTTTTATTTTTTTATTTTGTCTTTTTATTTTAACACTCACAGTTACTAGTTTCCTACATATACAAATAAGCTGACATGATATTGAAGTGCTGTACATCACAGTGCTTCACATATCTACATGTGGTCCACATTGACAAACTTAAATACTCTTACATAAAAACAGGATAAAATAATAATAATAATAATATAATACTGTGAAAAGATCAATTCTGCATAACGCATAGTTTAACTTTTGATACTTGGAGCACATTTAGCTATAATTCTGATGTACTTTATATAGTTCTGAAATGGGCCATTGCCAACTGCAACACCCTACCAAGTATGTGGGCCGCCTTACTGATAGAACGTGTAATAGTCAGCCTATAATCAAAGGTATTTCTCTTCAAACCACACATGGTCAAACATGCACCAAAGCCCAACTATATGATCCACACAAAACAAGGCAGAGTTTTACAGCAGCTCCTTTTGTTCTTTGTTGTAGGCACATTTGCATGATAAGCATAAAGATGGGAGCTGTAAAATTACATGTTTCAGTCCAAACAAGTGTAAGATTGACAATTTCTCCTCAAGACAGAGTCAGACTCTAGGCCTAACCACTGGGTGCTTCACTTGCCATCTTGAAGCGCTGCAATCTTTAAAATACTGCTCGTGCTGACCATTTTAGTTTTCAGTCATGTTTTACACCTGACAACCTGTAGCGCTAACTACAGTCTGCAGTGGTGTACAGTAACTAAGTACATTTACTCAAGTACTGTATTTAAGTACAATTTATAGAGAATTGTACTTCACTTGAGTATTTCAAATGTTTGCTACTTTGTACTTCTACCCCACTCAAATTCAGAGGTAAATAATATACTTTTACTCCACAACATTTATTTAATATCTTTAGTTACTGTGGATTAATGATGTATAATCAACTCTTAAATAAGACTTTAGTTACGCCTGGAGTAAATTCACAAGCTACCCTGCAGTATACAAAGTCATTAAAACTAGCAGCACCTTTACCAGCTTTGATAACACTTTAATGCATCAATAATTATAATCAAAGCATATACAGTAATAGCCTATATTATTCTGAAACGGGCATGAGTATTTTTGCTTTTGGTACTTTAAATATATTTTATGCTAATACTTTCGCAATTTACTTATATTTACTAATATTTTGATTTCACTTTTACTTGTAACACAGTATTCTTACTCCTACACTCTGGTGGTTCTACTTTTAATAAGTACAAAATCGGAGTAGGCTACTTTTCGCAAGCGTGTTTATATATATCTATGACTTTTCCCACCTCTGACAGTCTGTCATCACGTCGTGTGACGTAGGTGACGTAAGTGACGTAGGTGACGTAGGTGACGTAAGTGACGTAAGTGACGTTGACGACGTCAGGATTTCCGCATCGCCATGTTGACGTCGTTGTTACCCCGAAGCGATTTGTGGAAGGGGCATATCATCATGGAAAGGACTCGCTGACCCTGGTGAAGCTTACATTTTAAAGTACGATAATTCAACATGTTTTATAGGGCTCCAACTTTAAAAGAGTCAATAACGTACAGAGTGACAATGTCACCTTGGTGGTAGAATGTGTATGTTGTTAGACCGGGTGTGACAGCTAATGCAGCTAATGCTAACGCTACTGTCTGAGAGCTAACTGCTAAAGCTAATGCTAACCATGAAAAACCTTAAACTGACACCTTAAACACAGATATTTTTACTAGTTTGACCCCTCTCGATCATTTCTTCCTTTATAAACTGTTAAACAGTACGCTTAAGTTAGTATGCATAGTTTGAACTAAACGCTCTTTCACTTGAGATAGCTAGCCAAGGGGAAGCTACATGTTGGTCTCACAGCTGTTAGCTAAACAAATGTAGCTACAATTACATTACTTCCCTTTTTAAATGTAGTGGAATAGAAGTATAAAGCAGCATAACATGGAAATACTCAATTAAAGTACAAGTACCTAACAGAAATTCTACTTGAGTACAGTACTTGAGTAATTGTACTAAGTTACTTCCCACCTCTATATGCTTTTTAATACATGTGACTCTGTGATCTTAGGCAGCAGAAAGGCATCCTGAGACCATGTTGGCCCGGCTGTTCAGGCTCCACGGCCTACTGGTGGCCTCCCATCCATGGGAGGTTATAGTGGGCACCATCGCTCTAACCGTCTGCCTCGTGTCTATGAACAACTTGACATCCAGCAGCCAGATATGCAGATGGAATGACTGCCCCAAAGTGGAAGAGGTGAGTCTGCTTGAGAGGAGGCTGGAGTGGGTTTGACAGCTTATTAAAACAGGTAGAAGGATATGCTAACAAGAAGTTACGTCTGTGCTTGTTTTCTTACAGGAAATCCACAGCAGTGACATAATCATCCTAACTATCACACGCTGCATGGCCATCGTTTATATCTATTTCCAGTTGAAGAATCTGCGACAACTAGGCTCCAAATATATACTGGGTCAGTATGATAGGATGCTGTAGCTTGTTCAGCATTACACTTTATGCTTCATATCATTTCTTTCCATATTTACAATGACAATGCCATACAGTATATATTTTTAACTGTTATCGTATTTCTTCCTACAGGCATTGCAGGGTTGTTCACAGTGTTCTCCAGCTTTATTTTCAGTACGGTGGTCATCCACTTCTTTGGGAAAGAGCTGACGGGTCTTAAGTAAGTTTTAAATGGGCCAACATACTTATTGCACAGCACACAGAATTAACTTAAGTTTGCTAGTCATTTCAACTTAGGGGCAGTGTCCAACAGAACTTGGTTTTTAACAATGAGGACGTGCTGCCGTGAAACAATGTAATTCCCTGTTTGACATTTATCCCTTTCCCCTGCAGTGAAGCCTTGCCGTTCTTTCTCCTGCTCATTGACCTGTCCAAAGCCTGCACATTGGCCAAATTTGCCCTCAGCTCAAACTCTCAGGTATTGTCACGCACCTTGTTTCTGTGAATGTGTGAACTGTAACTGAAACCTGTTGATTCATAGCCAGAATATAGATGAGGTATCTGACAGGTGCTATGGCCCTGTGTCTTGTGTATAGGAGGAGGTTAGGGAGAACATCTCTCAGGGCATGGCCATCCTGGGCCCCACCTTCACCCTGGATGCTCTGGTAGAGTGTCTGGTCATTGGGATTGGCACCATGTCAGGTAAGAACAAATATTTGTGTTCCTCCAAAACAGCACCAGCTATGTTTTATTTTAATACTCTGTGATGATGGTGTATTAACTATTTTCTATTGTTTTCCAGGTGTGCCTCAATTAGAGATCATGTGTTGTTTTGGCTGTATGTCTGTCCTGGCCAATTACTTTGTCTTCATGACCTTCTTCCCTGCGTGTGTCTCCCTGGTCTTGGAGGTAAGGATTATTTGTAAAATATGGGCGAATCTTTGTCTGAAATCAGTTGCAAATGCATGTCACAGTAGATTTCGATCGAGCTCAAGCTGTATGTTTGTCTGTGTAGCTGTCCAGGGAAAGTCGTGAGGGACGTCCGATCTGGCAACTGAGCCACTTTGCTTCTGTGCTGGCTGAAGAAGAGGACAACAAGCCCAATCCTGTGACACAAAGGGTCAAAATCATCATGGTGAGACTCGGTAGTTTAAAAGTAAACTCTGTACAGTTGTTTAAAAATCTGTTTCAATCATGTGAAACGTTTTTTACAATATCCTTCCCAGTCTCTGAGCCTGGCTTTGGTTCATGCTCATACTCGGCTAGCAGCTGAGCATCCAGGTCAGAACAGCTCTCTGGAGGGACCCATAGCTACCAGACTGGACTCTGGTGACACATTATGGCCTCCTAAGCTCAACAGGTAAGAGCACTCGTAAAAAACAAATGACCCTTTCCATGAACACATTTGCCTGGTATTTACTGCCGTCCTCTGACCTACTGATGCATGACTTTGTCTCTTTTCCCCTCCGACCAGTATGGACCTGGAGCAGGTGATAACTCTCGGCCTCGCCCTGCTCCTGGCTGTGAAGTACGTTTTCTTTGAGCAAGCAGAGACAGAGTCTTCCCTGTCCCTCATGAGTCCAAGTATCAGCTGTCCTCCGACCCAGAAACCCAGGGTGGCAGAGGACTGCTGCAGGAGGGACTACCCAAACACAAAACCTCAGACGACCATGAACGGTACCTTAGCAACCAACCCTGCCTTGCCTGCCGTGTCAGACGCTGACACAGCGTTCAGGGAGAAAGGTGAGACTTATAATGAGCCCTCATAGCGCTATCCTGTCTTAACCTGCAGATGAAAAAACAAAATCTCTGATGTAACTGCATTGTTGCTTAACATTGCTTTTTCTCTCTCGTGTTTCCTCTACATCAGAGGCTACTCAGCCGGCTGTGGTCCCAGTGGAGAACGGCCCCTGCGTTTCATGCTTTGGGGAGTCTCCTGCTCCGACACCTTGTGTTCCTCAAAGCAGCTGTAATTCAGAGGCCCGGACGCTGGAGGAATGTATGAGTATCCTCTCAGATCCACAGGTAAGCTGATGGAAATCCTATCTTCAGTTCTGTGTTTGTCTGAAGGTATAACAAGTCACTACATTTCCCATGTTGCTTTCCAGAAGGGTGCCCGTTTTCTGAGCGATGAAGAGGTGATGAACCTGGTGACCTCTCGAAACATCCTGAACTATAAACTGGAATCTGTCCTGGAGACTCCAGAGAGGGGCGTGGCCATCAGGAGGGAAATGCTTTCATCCAAACTGCCTGTTCTCTCTGCTTTGACTTCTCTGCCTTATAAGGACTACGACTATTCTAAGGTATTGGCCACATGCATATCTTTCACTTTTTATGGGGCCTATTTGGTATTAACTACAAGCACATTCATTTTTGATCCATTTTAAATTATGATATACATACATATTTCATTTTACAAAATTACAAATATTCAAATTGTTTTATATACTTTATATATTTATATAAAGTTATATATTTATATTTCATGTACATTTTTTTCATTGTTTAAATACTTATTTATTTGCTCCTTTTTCTTTACAATTGAATACCTCCTACGGTGTTTATGTATGCTCCATTATACACCAGAGCAATGTATGTATAAACCTACTTAGCAATAAACCTAATTCTTTTTCTGATGGTTTTCATTAACGATATGTTTCTGTACATATTGCAGCTTCTATAAAGTCCTTGTTGTTGCCCTGCAGGTGATGGACACCTGCTGTGAGAACGTCATTGGCTACATGCCGGTGCCAGTGGGAGTGGCTGGTCCTCTTCTTTTGGACGAGAAGCAGTTTTACATTCCCATGGCGACCACAGAGGGCTGTCTGGTGGCCAGCACTAACAGAGGATGCAGGGCGCTTTCTGTAAGTTAGGAACATCGAGCTCTATCTGTTGTTGACTGTGTGTATATATATGTGTGTGTGCTGACTCCATGGTATGTTCCTGTCCAGCTGAGCGGGGGTTGCCGCAGCAGCATCCTGGCTGACAGTATGACCCGGGCTCCTGTGGTGAGGCTGCCCTCAGCATGCCGCGCCGCAGAGGTCAAATTGTGGCTGGAGACCGCGGATGGGTTCGCCCTGATCAAAGAGGCGTTCGACCAGACCAGCAGGTCAGTGCAAACACAGACAGAAAAGGTTTCCATTTCATTAAGTCACACCCATGAAATGTTGTTGTATTTGAGGACATACAGATCATATGTTAACATTTGCTCTTGATAGGTTTGCTCGTCTGGAGAAGCTTCTGGTGAGCTTAGCAGGGAGAAACTTATACATTCGCTTCCAGTCTCAGACCGGTGACGCCATGGGCATGAACATGCTCTCAAAGGTACCATCCACGCTTGTATAGCAGTCAATGCAAATGAGAGGCAGCACTACAGACCACTGTGTTTGTTTTGTATCTCCAGGGATGTAAATACAAATAAAAGTGTGTGTGTATTTTCCCAGGGGACGGAGCAGGCTCTGCAAATACTCCAGCTGCAGTATCCAGATGTGGATGTGCTGTCGATCAGTGGCAACTTTTGCACTGACAAGAAATCTGCTGCCATTAACTGGATCCTGGGTCGGGGAAAGTCTGCTGTGTGTGACGCCACCATACCAGCCAAGGTGGTCAGGGAGGTAAAGAACACTAAACTCCTCTGTTTGTATTTTGATGTGTAACAGTGGGATTTCCACTATAAACTCAAATCCCAGTTTATTTATTCATTCATTATTAACATTTTCTTATTGGTGCTGCTTTTTTCTGTTGGAAAAATCATACATTTGGCACTAAAACAGCCCATTCATGTGTCTGCAGGTGTTGAAAACCAGCACAGCCTCTCTGGTGGAGCTGAACATCAACAAGAACTTGGTGGGCTCGGCCATGGCGGGCAGCATCGGGGGCTTCAATGCTCATGCTGCCAACATCGTAGCTGCCATCTACATCGCCTGTGGACAGGTAATGGACCCCCCAACATGTTTTAATTACTTAGATTCATCTCACACAAATTTTGGTAAAGCAGTATTGATGGTTCAGAATAAAGATTACATTTGATTAGTATTTTATGAGTATAATAGAATGGTTAAATTACGCATATAACATTATAATTGGACACTAGTCTTCTGATCTGCTTATGAAATCAAAGTATGAAAAACATCCCTATTAAGAGATACTTATATAAATAAATACATTATATGAGGAATTAGGAGTGCTGATAAGGGTATTCATTAAAATGAACCCAAAAATGATTACATTGCAATATATTAGGCTGCAAAAAAAGAATAAATAATAAGTGTTGGGCATCAGCGTAGCCCACCACATGAATCTGTGCGTCGAGTGAAATGTTTGCGTTGCTGGTTCCAGGACCCGGCTCAGACCGTGGGGAGCTCCAACTGCATCACCCAGATGGAGGGGGCCGGCCCGGAGAGGGAGGACCTGTACATCAGCTGCACCATGCCCTCCATAGAGCTGGGCACTGTAGGGGGGGGCACCAACCTGGCCCCCCAGCAGGCCTGCCTCCAGGTAATGTTCCCTTTAACAGGACGTATAAATATACATTTTCTCCAAGAAACAGTGTAGTATGTTCAACATATCTGAATAAAAGACATACTAAATATGTTTAGTATTATATGTCTGAACACCGAAATGGCATAATGGAACATTTGAAAAAATGACATAGATTGGTATGTAAAACAATGAACAAAAAACAACAGCATAGTATGTCAAAAAAATCCCCAAAAATGACATTTTAACATGTGTATCGTATAGAATGCCGGAAACGACATAGTATGTCGTAGAAAGTCGTAGTAAAGTATGTTTAAATTATTATTTTTTAAGTATGATTGTGGATATTAGGGTTGTAATTACAGAGAGAGGGTGCTTATACAGTGTAGTAACAGTTTTATTAATCATTAGAGCTTTATTAAATGTGACATAGACCTGCTATACTTGCATAGATTCTAATGACCATGGTAAACAGTTCTCTGATATTTGTCTGATCTGTGACCTTTCTTAAACATCTGTATCCGTCTCTCTGTAGATGCTCGGTGTCCAGGGGACCAGCTCCAGCCGGCCCGGGGATAACGCCCGTCAGCTGGCCCGCGTGGTCTGTGCCACGGTCCTGGCCGGGGAGCTGTCTCTGATGGCCGCTCTCGCTGCTGGACACCTCGTCAAGAGCCACATGGCCCACAACAGGTCAGATACTTCATTAGTCTTCTTTACAGTTTATAACCATCTTCATTTTCTTCATGATTTCTGAAGCCTTCCTATTTTTCTGCTCCCAGATCTAAAACAAACCTCTCAGAAACGCCTTCATCAGCATCCGAGAAAGCTGTGTGACAAAGAATTCAGAGAAAGCTGCGTGACAAAGAATTCAGAGGGTCCCTCTTTATTCATATTGAAGGAGCGCTCCAGCCAACAGAGGGAAGCGTCACGGTGAAAACTGAGAGACAACATAGAATTGTCTCCTAATGACGTGACTCTGAAAGGAGTGGACCTAAAGACTAAAAGAGTGTCGCACCACTGTGTGCATAAAGACTTTTTCAGGTCCGGTATTATGTTGAGGTTATTTATTTGTGCCATGTGTCTGCAACTGAGCATTGCAGAAGTGTGTGTGTGTGTGTTGTCACTGATCTTTAAGAAAATAGTGAATTATTGAATGGCTTTGAATTGCTGCCCAATTGATTGAACGCTTTCTGTGCCTCTTTAGAGTCTTAAGGCCGAATTCATTCATACAATGACGGAACTTGCACCTTGATTCTTTTATTTGAAATGCAGAATGTGAGATCTTCAAACTGCTATACCATGTTTTGGTCTTTGCACTAGCCAAAGGTTTGCGTGAGATGATGCTATTACCGCCATCTGTTAAATGCCAACTTTTCCCCTGAATGTATGTGTTACTAAAGCAGTGTTCTCTTGCACAACCCTTACGGATTCAGGCTGCTGCTGCTGCTGTGTATTCTGTGGAATGAAAATGGCTGCTAGTTCCAGAGAGGAAAAAGCTAACATGGTTTTTCGTGAAAGTGGAAAAATGATACAGGCATTGTTTCTTTGTGTTCAGACGAAAAGGATGACTGGAAAGATTAAAGCCATATTAACTAATATAATGGTACACTATTACGTACAGAAGGTTATACTGACAGTGACTGCAGCTCCTTGTTTTGTCCTGTTTGGAAAGCAAGTGCAAATGTGGCCTTACAGTTTGTCTCTGAGAAGCCATGGCATGTTCTAGATAGAATATTCTAAGCTATTAATTTTTTGTATTTAATAAAAAATGATTTACATCAAGTTTCCTCTTAATGTCTCTGCTAAAACTAAAATGGTATAGGTACTTTATACCACTAACAATGGTAACACGTATGTTGAAAAAAGGTTGTAGTGAGTCAAAAACATCATAGTATATATGTCAAATATCCATACATTAATTTCTATTTCATAAAAAAGTCTTTATGCCTGTTTTCTTATTACATGAACAAATGACTCCAAAAATAAGAAATGGAGGATAAACTTATTTATTTCACTTTTTCAACAGGGCAGAAGTGCAACGCTGTCACAGTACATTTGTAAGTTGATCCCACAGCATTAGTATGAACAAATTATTTACAAAAACATATTCCTAATAACATTCATTTTTGATTTAGAAATGTTAAGGTGAAAGCGCTTTAGCCTTTCTTCGTTCCACTTGGCCCAGAGGCTGAGTATCATACGGCTCACTCTCACCCACATCACTGCTAGAGGCTCTAAAATCAAACGCTCAAGAAGAGACGGAAAAAAATAGCAACAAATATCATCGAATTAACCCAAAAACAGAAACATTTTGTGCTGTCCACTGGTGGAAAATAGTACTAAAATATATTCAGGTAGAGCTACCGATGCTTTACTTTGAAATGCTTTACATGGCAAATAACTAAGGAAGTGAAAACCAACTTCCTCTTAAAAGTGTTATAATATTTCCATATCAGTGTCAGTCAACTCAACGTCAAATAAGGAATGATAAGTACACCATTCCAATATTTTTTATTTTATTTAACCAGGAAGGTCTCACAAGTGTAGATCCTTACTGAACTCTGGACTTTGCACCTCCACCTTTGTCTACATTTTTACACAATATACCAAAACCTAACTTGATTTCAGTATTTTCTTCAGTAGCAAATGTTGTGACGCACCCGAAATGTGGAGGAGACGATGCTGATACGGAACTTAATTTGAAATGTATCTCAAGTAATACTACAACTTGTAAAAATATCCTGCTAGCCCTCGGTGGGAAACCCAAATTAAGTGTGCTCTGTTTCATTCAGTAAATTTAAATGGACTCCTTGAGGAGATGATTATAAGGGGAACTCGGCCACGAGGCACTTCACTACTGATTTTCCTTTTCCCCCCATCTGAAGCTAGATTCTCCTTTTACACCAAGGCATCTGGGCTCAACAACGATGTGACCTTCAGAGAAATGTTGTCTATTTACAACTTAATAAACATTCAAAATAGGTGCTATATGACACTACATCATTGTACAACACAAATATAAAGCCGAGCAAACAATGTACATTAATTGTTTTTTTACATTAAATATATGACAAACTCCTGACGCCTCGTCCCTCCGTCAGCACCACCAGGGGGTGTTTTCATGAGAGGGACGGGGTCAAAGAGGTCAAGTCTTATATCATAGGGCTCATGGGAAGATGACAGCCCTCTGGACTTAATCAATCAGTGATGTTAGCAGCTTCAAAAGAAAGCTGGGGAATTACTTGAAATAAATCAACAAAAAATAGGAGCTATAAATTGCAATAAAATATTTCCTTCTATTAGCAAAGATCTGTCTGTTTCTTTTTATAAACTTCTTATAGAACATACATACATTCATATATTAATATATCTGTTAGAAACACGACAAATCCTTTTTCTACAGGAGCATGAACAATGGCCGCTGCATAAAAAACTTGCATGGGGAGGCGGGGCCCCCTGCTGGGTGCATTCATCACAGGAGACTACTCTTTAATGAAACTTGAAATGATCTATTCTGAATAACAGCCATTGTAATGTCTCTTGAAATGACGACTTGTGATATCACAGCGAGGTTTCAGTTGCCTCACGAATATTGTTTTATTTGAATGCCGCCACCAGAGGGCAGCATTTTGACCCTTCCTCCCCCTATAGGAACTAACTTGTAGCTAAAAACTGAGAGGGAGAAAACCACTTTACAAAACGTGTTGGGTAGCAGCAGAGCAGCAGTCAGTCTGAAGACACTGGATCCTCAAAGCCTCATACGCGTTTCTGTCCTTTGTCTCAACACTGGAAAGATAAAGAAGTGTCTTATTATCATTTAGCAAGGTATGCATAAACGGAGATTGAGATGTGACGGGTGAGTAAATAAAGTGGACGAGTAAGCTGCGGTGTTACCTGTGCGCCTCAGAATAAGATGGGTTTGCCAGCAGTCTTCTCCTGGACGTAGGAGGTGAAGCGCTTGAGGAATTTGGGGTACTCCCTCTTAGCCACGGCCCGGAGCACAGAGGCAGGGGCCCAGCCTCCGGGGTTCACTGCACACACACACAGGAGAGAGGTTTAACAGTGGCGCAAGTTTTATTATCATAATATCATGATAATAAGTCAAAATGGCTTCTTAAGAGTTTTCCCTTACTATGTCAACATCGCATATAAAATGTTTTATCAAAATACAGTCACTCGGGTGGATGGTTACAAAATAAAAACAGAACTAGGAGAAGATATTTAAGACTGGTACATTCCAGACTTCAAAATGCCTTTTTGGAAGACACTTTAAAGAGGTTTCAAGAGCTACAATCAGATGATCATTAACCTCAACTGAAGACAAAATACTTGCTAGACGATAGAAAACACACCATTGGCGACGTAAGTGATTTTGCACATGATGTTGTCTCTGCTGATCTCTTTATCTCCCTCTGGTGGGCTGACCAGGGTCTGACAGATCATGCCGATGTTGATTTTGGCACGGACACATTTGTTGGAGGGCTGTGGGACAACAAGGTAGAGAATTAAAACAACATGATTACAAATACAAATACAAATACATTTCAATAAATATCCTTGCATGGTGTCAGGATCCTAAAGTGTATCTGATTGGTTTATGGCTCACCTGAGCATCGTCGTGATCCACAGAGAAGTTGCAGACCAGCCAGGTGTCGGGGTCGTTCTCGTTGTTGGCCATGATCTTCCTCATGGCGGACAGGTACAGCACGTCCCTCTGAGAGGCCGGCCACACACGCTGCAACACACATTTTTATTATTCAGATGCAAGAGATCATATAAAACAATCTTCCTTTCCACTGTTGAGATTTAGTTTGAGATGTCGTAGCCCTTACCTTGTGCGTTTGATAAACAATTGCTGCGTTTTCTGACAGATTCTCCACAACATTGAAGTTTTCAATGGTGGCTGCAGAGGGAGAGAACGTGGGGATGTTTCAGTTTAGTAAAGAATGGGAAGAAAACGTTTTAAAGCAGTTCAGATTGTTAGTGAGAGGACTTACTCTCCCAGTCGTTGCGGTAGGCCGTGTCCCAGAAGTAGTGGCAGACCTCGTGTCCAGTCACCCCCTTCACCGAGTGTGTGGCCTTCAGCGGGTCCAGCACTATCCCGTTCTCTTCCACCTCTCTCCTGTACACCTGAACACACATTTCAACATGCGTATACATGTTATATGCTTTGATTTGAGTGCGGCCTAATAGTCATTACACTTACTTGAAACAATATTGTATTAATTTAGCAAAATAATGGATTAATATGATCTACTATGGGATCTAAATTACACTTCATTCAACTTTATTGTCATTGCACAGATTACAACTAAATGCAGTCTTCATCCAACGAGTAGGATAAGTGCATGAGGTTACAGTCATTCATCATACCTTCATTTCTCCCTCTTCTACAACCAGCTGCCAGTTGGCGTCTCCACCAACATCCTGCAGGGAGTAGGTCATGTGATTCTGCACCATCTCCTCCACCTATAACACAGGGACAGGGTTAGAAGGAGGATGTGAGTGAAAACTTGAACCATGGGAATTGGCATAAACACTGCTAGGCAACATAAAGCAGTAATGAAATACGTCCTAGTTTTTGTAGACGGACCAACATGCCAGAGCTAACACTGGGGGACACAAAGCTTCAATGTACCAGGCAGGACTTTATTTCACTTTGCTGTCACACATCAGACCTGGTGGCACATTGTTTTTAACCTTCAAAGTTATTATTTAGGACATATGTAAAATGGGAATTCATATTTCATGCTGCTGTGTTACTGGGGTGTAAGCAGTCACTGGACAGTTACCTCTGCGCTGAATCTGTGGACCTCGTGAGGGACGCTGACTATGAGAGCGGGGGTGGACTGACTATGAGTCTACAGGGAGGGTAAGAGCCAAGAGGATGATAGACCAAATAAATGAGGAAGTGGAAGAGAGAAAAAAAAGGATGTGATTTCAAAATGAAAGTGGTGTGTGATGACAATGGAGGGAATTGCAGAAATGGAAGTGAAGTGATGTGTACAGTTTTAGCTGGTGAAGTATCTGATTACCTTGTTAGCGAATCTGTGTGTGCCGGTGGTGGAGTAGACGTCTCCGGGGGGGACGGGGCTGGATCTCTGCATCCTCGTCTTCTCAGTGTGAGACTGGACACAAACAAGCATATTTTAAAATCAATCATGTAAGCAAGAAAAGCAAACCGTAGAAGCGATCATTCTTTTATGATATACTGCATCTGATCCTTAGCGTACCTGTTCCTCTATTTTGTCCTGTCTGTCGAGAGCAGCTTCCACTGCATCGAAGAACTCATCCTCATTGATGAGGCTGTTAGGACCCTCCTGACAAATCAAATGAGAGAGAACATGTTACTTACAAAGTTCTCACACAGCCCAGACTCTTGCCACTGCATGATCAAGAAAACTCTACCTCATAATCTGGACCTCCAAAGTGAGACTTTGTCTTCAACTCGTTCAGAGCTGATTTGTAGCCCTCCTCTATTCTTCTGCGCTTCTCCATCTCCTACACACACACACACACACACACACACAGTCATTAATGGAACAATATGTGATTTACAGTATGACATCATAAAATGACCGGTCAACAGAAGTTAAGAAACATAATACATTTAAATACTGACAGTTTTCTCTTCTTCAAAAATATTCATCTTGATGCTTAATGTCCCTGTTTATGTTTTGGCCAATGTGACAACCCATGATGCCAGATACAAAGTAAACACATTTCAAACACACAAAAAGATTATTATGGTCTGACAAATATATATGTAGGAAATACAGGCTTTAAAATAAAAATAAAAATAGACGATACAAGGCCAAGATCCAAATGCTACACACCTTATCCAGTCTCTTCTGCCAGCTGTCCTCTCTCTTCACCATGAGGTCGATGCAGTGGGACAGAGTGGCCAGGATCCCAGCTGTGGTGGCTTTGAATGTGATGGCCTCCCCCTTAAAGTCTATGCCCTTAGGACTCAAGGCCTGGAACACTGCACAGAGGAGGATCATGGGAATAAAACAAAATGCTACTTCAGACAAACACCAAATCTGTACAGTGCATGGTCACATCCCAACATCATATTTGACATTATTTTTACGTTAATTGGCATCACATTTAAAAGAAATTCTTGCAAACATAGGAATATATTATAACTTGCAGGAACACAACAGTTTTAAAAGGTGCTACTACATATTTTGTCAACTTCTTCTTACGAGAACATATATTTCAAAGCAGTTGTGGTTAGTTTCATTGAAACATTTTTGTATTGTGTTTTTTTGTCTGTGCTGTCTCAATAAATAATAGATAATGCTCTTTTCCAAACGTTAAGCCAGAGAGTCATGAATATTTAACGTTATAGAATTCTGTATTACTCACGCTTTTCTTTGCTGCCGTTGTTATTGTGCAGGAACTCTCCATCTGTCCTGGTGTTGGGGAAGTCATCTTCATCATCCTCCACGACTGAAAAACAGAGAAATAAAGATTCAGATAGGGAAGGCAAACGAAAACACACCAAATAGGTAGCGATACCTAAGCCTATTCTGGTAGGAGGCTAATGGAAGTAAACCAGCGTTACAGCGCATGGGAGCGCCTTGACGCTCATTCACAACTTCAGCTGCAGCACAGAGCTCCGTCAGGCTGACAGAGCTCTGCCTCACCGGACAACATGACAATGGTCTGTTTTCATCTTCAGAATGGAGAGGGAGAGAGGGGGGGGGAGAGAGGGAGGTGAGGGGAACAAAAGCAGGGCTTCATTCTCTGTGCTCATCCACGGGCGCCCAGTGCAGGCTGCCGTGAGCAAATGTTCAGCCTGCCAACCCGGGGTGAGGGGGTTTGGAGAATAACTGCTGACTGAGTCACAAAACTCAGACACACTCCAAACAAGTCAGTCCAAGTTTCCTCTAAACTGCATATATTTCCATAATATATACATGGAATATTTAAGGCAGAGAGTCACTTAAGAAACACCATTGTCTTGTTAGAACCACGTTTTGTGATCAGTTACCCTGGTACCCTGAATTTGCTAAAAAAAAGTTGAAGTAAATACTCTTGTGCTGCACACTTAACCATTCCATTATTTCCACACATAGCTGATTAACCAATGCAAAATCTCTGTGAGGAAATAAACCACGCTTTAACTTACAATCATTTTGATTATATCATATCTATTGATTACTTTCTCTATGTCAATTTATTGTTATGTCTATAACAAAGATGACAATATATTTTGTGCAGTCTTCAAATCGCTTTAACAAAAGAAACACATTTTTTTTGTATATATAAGACAAAGAAAAAGCATAAAATCCTCACGTTTGAAAAACTATAATAATAAATACATATTTACCATATTTGCTTGAAATGTCCAAAATAGAGAATTATTTTTCAAATGTTCAACTAATTTATTAATTTATAATCATTACTACTCCTAAAGAAAAACAATAGCATAATCTTCTCTTCTTATATCAAATCACAACATTTGAATATATATATATATATATTAATATGAATAATCTGTTCAAAGTAGTGGTCTTACTTTTATCCCTCTGCAGCTCGTCCTTGGACACGGCGTCTGAACAGCCATCAAAGTATTTCTGAAGCGTGTCCACCTGTCTGCACAAGATGTCTCTGAATGTCTCCATCTCCGCCAGCTTCTCCTTCAGGCTGTGACCCTTCTTGAGGCAAATAAAGAAACAGCGGTTAGGTATTTGGTTTATATTTCCATGGACCACAATTACACCATTCCATGCCAAAGACCTCAGCCAGAGTAAACATTGAGCAGTAATCTCACCTTGAAGGAGGATGTGGAGGTGGCGGAGAAGCCGCTGGTGGCCGATGTGAGCGACAGCATGGAGCCATGTCTCCGCAGACTGGACTCAGAGCCATACCCAGAATCAGCCTGTGTGAAGAAAGCAGAAACAGACATGGAGACACGTTAGCAATGTCGTCACAAAGTAGCCTTATTTTATAAAATTCCGTATAATGATTTATTTAACTGCTGCAACTCAGCTGTGACTTATTAAGCAAACCATGTGACACAAAACAAAAGGTCAACTACAACTAATCCTTCCCCTAATCTCTGCTCTAGCTGTTGCTCTGATAATTGTCATGTTCCATCTAGTATAGTCATTTAAACATATCAATGATGAATCTAAACTTTATAAAAGTATCTTCTCCTCCTTCTCCAACCTACACTACCAACCTTCAAATCATGATTATTTTTTAATTGACTGGCATTTCATCCTAATATGAACACATGTTTGAAAATCCTATTAGAAACTGCATAAACAGCTTGGCAGAAATTCCTAAATGTTGTAAGCAAACATTTTGACAGTATTCGTTGAGCTCAGCAGCAGCGCAACATGACACGGATTCAGTGACCATGGCAACGCAACTGAAATATCCAACAGACTTCCTGTAAACCTGCCCGCTTCCCCTCCCTTATATAACAGCCCAGCCTCAAAATAGATGGCTGGTGACAGCAGAGAGGAAAGGTGCAGCAGCACAGAGAGGGAGCGGGGGAGAGGAGGAGCAGAGATGCCTTTCCCTTTAAGACATCATTTCAATTGCAACCACCAGGGGGCAGGACATGTCAATGCACGTGACGAGCATTTGTGAGAGCTTGGGGTTACTGTCGGTCAACGACAGGAATTAACTCCGCCTGTGTTCACATAGATTTCAGACAGCACTGCTTGCCCTTTAAACCACATTCTGCTGCCCCACTGACTTCATCAGCACAGATTGCACTATCTAACTGTTTGCATGAGGGCTGCTTAATCTGGTTGAGAAAGACTGAGGTTTTGTTACAGCTATACTATTTGAAAAATGCTAAAATAAAACTGGATTCATGTAAACATTAATCCACTGCTCCCGTCAGCATTTTCAACAGTATGTAGGCAACAAAATAACCAACATTTACCAGTCAAATGCTGTTAAAATATGCATGGGCTAGTCGATTTGCATTACTCAGCAGACAGTAAAACAAGGGGAATCTATTGAGTAGCTGGGAACATTTAAAAATACAAGCCATTCGGCCGGTGGAAATAATAAATAACATTGTTATATGACGGAGTAGAAATATTCACACACATGCACAGGCCTTAAAGATGCATGCAATGAGGCAAACAGAGTCTCTGAGTGAGTGTTTGTGTGTGTTTAAGTGTCAGGTGATTACATCCCAAGTGCACTCACCCTACTGACTTTGGATAAAACAAGATATAAAGCCTGGAGCTGATAAAAGAGCTGCCCTGAGTAGAAACACACTTATCCAAGACACAAAGCTCATTTTAAGTGATAAGAAGCCCACATAATAACCATAAAATATGGCCTTACATTTCTGTCACTGCACATTTAAAATACAACAAGCATCGTTTTCTTTACTAGAGATGGTATCCAAGAGACAAGTGTTGTTGTAAGATGTTTCACCGTCTCCAACTGTGAGAGTAGTAACTGTGGTGTGTTGTGTCTCCTTGGAGACGCTGGAGTAGTGTTGGTTTCGAAAGGAGAAGCAGGGCCCTCTAAGAAGAAGAGGTTTTGGTGGTGACTCATTGTGGGTGGGATGGTGCGAGTGCCTATATGAGTCACAGCGGCTCCCCTGTGCTGGGATGAGTGAGTGGGGGGGGAAGAGGGGGATTTCCCAAACTGAGACCAGAAATGAGCATGCGTGTGTTTTGGCAGACAGGCTGAAGGTGTGGTCACTGCCAACTCCTCTTCCCAGTCAGACAGACTCGCAGCTCTTTTCAGTTTAAAATAAGTTTTGTTAATGTTGTGAAACCATTTCCCTCTCAGCCTAGGATGAATCCTAACAACATAAACAATCAACTACCAGATGACACATGGGGTTGTTTTCAACATCAACGCAAGACAGAATTTACATATTTGATGGTTGGTTGCTGTTTGTATATAAACATTTTGTAGGCCTTTTTTTTGTTGCATCTATTGTTTTTCACTCAGCAGTAGGGGTTGCAACCCACTTCCTTTGTCCTTCACACTAACTGAATACAATCGGTGCTACACCCTGCACTTCAAGGTTTTTCACAGCTCTGAAAGGTTGTGATTCAGCCCTGGGAAAACTCACATTGTACTGATATTTACTGATACAAAAATCAGAGTTAGAAAAGCATTACTGTTTTCACAACTTTCACAGGAATGTCCCCAGAAAATCATTAAAACAGGGTTATCTGTTGACAGTATTCAAACAGCTTTCTCAGCAAGTCTTGACACCCTTTTAAAACCCGTGTAAAAGGTCTGTTTGAAAAGGGATTATCTAAACCTTGAGTTTACCGTTAGTCCAGGGTTAAGATACATTTCAGCCAAGGGTGCCCTCTGTTAAAAGCCTTAACAAGAGTCATGCACTAATAGAGAACCATCCACCATATAACAGTTCACACAGCATTTATGCTTTTGGAAAAATCTTAGATGGAAGAGAAAGGAGAAACACAGTTGTAACTAAACTGTGTTAAAGATGAGTGAAGCACTCAGTAAGTCCTGCAGACTTGCCAACAAACGCACCAGCGGTGGAGAGATGAATATTGTTCCCTGGATTCCTCCCTTCTCTCTCCTCCCTTCTTTGATACTCTAATAGAAATACACACACACACGCATACAGTGAACACTCACATCCACAAATACAAACCTTGTATTTTGATACTTTGTGACAAAATGTGACAAAGATTTGGATTATTTTGAAACCAGCAGTTTGTTTTCTGCTGTGTTAATGTGCATGACTTACCCTGTGCAGCTCAATGGAGTCGATCCACTGGTGTCTGTGCTCCGGGTCTGCTGCTCTGAGGTACCACACACTGTCGTTTACAGTGATGTCCAGCCGGCACTCGTCAAACTCATGAGGCTAAAACAGAAGAAGGACAGGGGACAAAAAGATTAGTCAGTTTACATTGAAAATATGCCGCTGTAAATCCTTTTACCATCAGTATGCTCGACATCTGAAAGTTTGAAGATACTGGAGAATTCTAAGAAATAGGGCCTGCAAACTAGATTTTTTTGTTTTGCTTTAGTTCATGTTCTTTCAGCAAGGGGAAACGCAAATCTCTTTCCTGCTCAGGAAGAGCAGAGGGAGGCACTCGTGAGAGGTGACCACCCGTGTAAATTGTTATTTAAAATGACACTGAAATAGCAAACTGCTTATCTCTCTCCTGTTCGGCAAAAACAGGAAACATGGCAATCCATTGTCACAGTGATGGGAGTCAAATGTAGTCAATGTAGGCTGATCTATATATCTCAGAGATAAAGGGCAGAATAGAGCGTACTATAAGAGTGTAGCAGAGGCATAACAGCCTTTACTTTCAGACACTGTCCCATAGGAGGAGAAGTGGCAGATAACTGGCCTTTTAAGGCAACAAGCAAGATGGAGCATACTCCTAATATCCCTCCAGTGTACCGTCAGCGCTGTGAAACTGCAGCGCTGGCATGGCCATTAACCAAGGACTTTATGTGTGTGTTGGTTTGTGTGTTTGAGAGTGCAGGGATGGAGGGAGCGGTGGGGACAGCAATGGTGTTTACCTGTGCGGTATTTACCTAATGCATTAAGGACAACAGTGAGTCCCAATGCTAAATCACTCTGAAGGTCTAAGCACAGGCAAAGCACAGCTCGCTGATATATGACTGAGAGTCTGGCTCAGAGTAGCTGAGGACACAGCTCGAGAAGCACAAAGAGATGGAAAAGACTGAATGAGCAGGAATGCCAGATACTGCGGCTGAACTGGAAGCAAAAAGAGAAATCACTTCAGAGAAGAGACCTTTACATTCCTACGGTGGCCACAATGCAGTAAACACATCTGGGATTCCTTTCATAGTGTATCTGTACAGCACCATAAGTCAAATAATTGACTCTGCAGGGCCAAGAGTCTGCAATGTTGCAAGAAGCACTCATTTCACCAAAGGGCACTTTAAGTGAAAAATAATTAGCGATTGAAATTGACTGGTTTGTTTAATTGATGCATTTATAGATTTTTTTGGGTTCAATATTGAAAAATAATATTCTAATAATACTTTATTGATTAATCCTGTCTACCAGCCCTTTTTAAGATCTATAAGATAAAAACAACCTACATGTTATTTTCCCTGAGACAAGCAAAAACAACACGGGCACATTTGATCATTAACCAAAAGCAAGCTTGCAATCTAATATTACCCAGAGACACCCCGAGCCCACAACATTACGGAAGATAGTATTACTCCTGTGAGTTGGCAGAGTAATAAATGTCCCACTATGGTGTCTTTAAAAGAGGTTTCAGTGGAGGAGCGGGACTTGGCTCTGTTGCACGACACCTGGACGGCACTGAGGACAAGACCAGATGCTCTGTGTCAATAATGCACGATATGAGGCCGAATGCTGAAACCTTGCCAAACCAGATGCTCATTTGAAAGTGACCAGTGGTATTTGCATACAGTCAACACCAGTAGCAGAGACAGAGAAGAAGAGGAAGCACAAGCAAGGAAGGAAACAATGTGATGAATCATATACCCTACATTTGTATGAGGAAGACCAAAGGGCTTTTGGCTGATTGTTTTTAATACAATTGTACAAAGTTTGAATACAATATTCTAAAAAAAAAGAATATAATAAAATGTCCCTTGCTGCAATGGCTGTACTACACGAATATAATGCGAGATGAAAGAGTGCTGGAGTGTGCAACGCAAATGTTGAGTTGGTCAATGAGTTTGTTGTGTCATTTGGTTGCTAGGAAAGTGGGGAAATGTGTTCCTCATGATCACCTCCGGACGGCAGGGTCATGGGTATACTGACTGGAAGGCCTGTTTGAGAAATGAAAGCCTGCACTGGGTCGACGAAGGTTACTGGGATCCAAGGCTACGGTCAACAATAATCCATCATAGTAATGACATTTTCGCAGCCTTGCACAGCACAAGATGACATGCTGATATCAGCCTGGGCAAAAGAGAATAAATGAACTGTATGGAGTTTTTTTTGATAGTGTGTGTCTTGTGAATCCTTGTGTTGAACCAGATAATCAAATTGTGATGTAAATCTAGGTCAATAAGAATGATGGATCATTTCTGCTGAATTACTTTCCAACAGGCCTGACAAGCAGGTATAAAGAAATAGATGGAAGGATATTTTAGATGCGCTTGCAGCAAATCAATATTTTAATTATTTTGAATAGGAAAGGGGAAAAGCGAATACCGATGCAGTAATTCTTTATTGTTCCATGAAGGCTTTGTGCCACAATGTTACTTGACAATGATTTTCTTTAAACTATTTGGTACAAAAAGTAGACTATGGATAAAAATACATTTATTTTTTCAGCAACACTGTTTAGGTGCAGCATCCATGTGATGCTTAGGAGACAATATGTTGATCACACAAAGGTCTTGCCCACAAGCCTTTTATTCCTAGGACTCTACTCGTATTATTGTGTCTTGTTTGTTTTGGATCGCTTTCAACATCAACATGATCTCATAAAGGAGCATGGTAGGGGGTAACAAGACTGGAAGGAGAACAAACATCTGATGAAATGATCTACCAAGAAACATATTCAGTGTTTTCAGCAAAAACACGTGGGTTTGCTATCCTGGCTCCAAAATGGTGGAATGAGCTCCCCATTGACATCAGGACAGCAGAAAGCTTACACATCTTCCGGCGCAGACTGAAAACTCATCTCTTTCGACTCCACTTCGAGCGATAGAATTACTAACAAAGCACTTATATACTAATAAAGGACTGGCTTATCTAAAGCCAGTTGAGTAGCACTTGAAATGTTTTGGCTCTATGAAACCTGATGATTCTGTTTTCTTCAAGTTTGTATCTTCTTGGTCGCATGCACTTATTGTAAGTCGCTTTGGATAAAAGTGTCAGCTAAATGTAATGTAATGTTTTCCTCTGTATCAAAGGGTAGCAAGTAATATAAATGCCAAAATCATGATGAAACAAAACAGTGTGTGACATTGTTTATCTATTTTCTCTAAATACAAATGTATTACTCTGCCTAAAAAATAAACAAGCCCTTCTCTCCTCTCCCTTTCAACTCCAGCTGGTGTACGTGTTCGTAGTCACACTCTCCAGAAGTGAGTGGATGGGAGCTTCCCGAAGAAAACCTTTAGAATTTTAATACACAAAAAAACTGATGGATTGAAAACAATGCAAGCAATGAGAACCCTAACAACGTTTTTAAAAGACCCAACTGGATTTTATTTCTATTTCTGCCATTTTAAACCTCATAATTATTCTCTCTGCACAGGAGATTAAGACAAATATAGTATCTTGATCCATCAGACCTGGAGCCAGGAACATCTTTATGTTCACGCCGGACATTAAAACGGGATCCCATTGGCCTAGTGCAGGAAACACTGACTCACCAAGAGCTCAGAGTGCAAGAGGAAAGGAAAGGCTAAATAAACAAGGATGAGAGAAAGGTCTGTCGTGCCCAAGTTTGTGTGTGTGCATATGTGTATTAGGTTTTTACCCTAGAAATGACCCCCGATGAAGAGGAAGTCACATGCTTTGAGGAAATCGTAAGACAGCACGAGCCTGACGTCAGTCCCAACGCTCAATTCAACCAACTTGACCATAGGTCTATTTGTCTGTTTTCCTATCTCTTTGTGACAGATACGGAGAGGAAAGCGACAAATCATTGCATCCAGTGACACGGCCTTGAAGAACTCCAAACAATCCTGCACCAAATTAAAGCTAAATGTGGAATTACAACTAGGACAGTGCATTCTTTTTAACCATGGATCTACAAATGCCAATGGTGGTAAGCAGCCTTCGTTAAGAACAGTCTTGTGGAGGCCCATTTGATCCAATAGACAACCCATACGCACCAACCTGGAATAGCATGACAAGATAGTACATGTTGAAGTCAACTGTCAACACAGAGTTTGATGGTTTTACTTGTTTGCTAATGAATGTAGAGAACGGTTCACATTAGACAATGCGTCAACTGTTTTTAAAGTGAGTAAGCGTATGTTTCGATTGAGGATATTGTTGATTTGCTGGTTACACACCAGATATGATCGTTGCAACACAAAATGGCATTCAATTCAATGTTATTAAGTTCCTAGTCGTGGAGATGGCTTCAACAGACAAAGAGGATGCATATGACCTACCTACTATATCGTGCACGAACAGGTGGTGGACACAATGAAAAACAATGCACAATGCAACCCAACCTAGCAGCTCTGCAAGTAATCTTTCCTCATAGTTGATACTGTGTCAAACAGATATTTCCAGTTTGTTGAAATTTGAGGCCAAAGTTTAAAGTATGGGACGATTACATTTATTTTATTATAAGCTGTTCTGTAGCTTAGCTATTGTGTTTCCAACCTACTAACAAGCTGGGTTAAGCTGGGTATGATGGAAACCTGACATTACATTTCCGGCACTAGATCAGTCATAAACAACAAAGGATCTTGTCAATTTGCTATTTTGAGAAATGCTTCCGAGCACTTGCTCTGGTTGTTTTGCAATGAAGATGTCCCAACTTCAATTACAGGTCTACCTGGGTTTCTTAACTTTAGTGTCCTGACTGGAATGAGTAAATGACTCATAGTACAAACCACAAACTTCCCTCTGAACTTAATACTGATGCGCACCACATGCACAGAGCCGCAATTATCAACCCACAATATATTAGTCGATTGACAAAAAATGTATCAGCAAATATTCATCTTTGACTGGTTACAACTTCCCAAACTTGAGAATTTCTTCATTTTTTGTAATAAATATATCATAATGAAATGCATTAGTATGGACAGTTCAGATCCGAAGATGTGAACCGCCCCAAATATTGACAGGCATTTAACCATTTTTTTCCTATTGTTTTATGCAAAGTGATTTATTGATGAAAATGGAATTAAGTTGCAGCCCTAAAGCATACAGTATAATCAGAAGTTAATCTTCTTTGGGAGCTTTTGTAGAACATATTGTACCCCTGTGTTATTGTGAGTGCCATGAGTAGGGCTGCTCGATTAAGGCAAAAATCATAATCTCGATTATTTGGGTCAATAATTGACATCACGATTATTAAAAACGATTATCCATTTACTTTGAAAACAAAAAATGTGAACAGTATGTTTTTAACAGTTGATTACCCTGAACTTTAAGTATAATTCAACTGAAAAAAAAAAATTATAATTTAAAAAAATAATAAAAAAATAATCGTTTTATTTCGATTATGTTGTTTTCATAATCGTTGCAAGCCAAAATCGTAATTGCGATTAAAATACGATTAATTGAGCAGCCCTAGCCATGAGTGGAAATTACAGGAAAGAACAGTCAAAGAGAGTAATACACTTTCTGTTCAAAAAGTCAATAATTGTCTGTCTGTCTGTGCCACCACCAGCTATAGCTTTTTCATATTGACTCCCCAGAGTTTTGAGGCATATTTCCATCGGAATGAGAAATTACAACAGTAGCGTCACATGGAGGTTAATATTTACACAGGCTGGGAATGGATGAAGCTGAACAAATACAGTTAATAGCAAAGCCTGCTTTCTGCTGCCTGGGAACAGTAACTTATTCATTTCCCTTGTTACTGTTATAGAGAGACACAGACGGGGTTAAGTCAATGACTGACCTGGGTTCCCATTGAAACATGGAGACAATGTGAACATCCAGCGTTATAAACTGTTGACACATTTAGATTTATTTTCCCTGTGAGCATAGTGTGGCAGCCTCTTTCCTAATCTCTTAGGCAGGATAATATTAAATGTCTGACAGAAATGGGAGTCTCTGCTTCAACATATTGGAAGCTAAATCTATCACAGCTCCACTTTCTTGGTCTATCCTATGCAGTGACACAGCAATACTCAGTCTCATGATGAAGTTCTCAATAAAGCGTTACCACACACTGTAGCATGTTTTTTCAAAACTACAACAGTCACCTGATAGGCAGAGCAGAACTTGTCACTCCTAATCAGGAGTTCTATGCGAAAATACGTGGTCACCTGCAGTTGAAGAAGATGTTTGAGAAACTCAAGTGTAAAGGTCCTCATCTGATTAGAATCGTCTACAGCGAGTCAAGCCTTAGGCCTGCACATTGATCCAGGAAAGAGCCAGAGTCCTTCCCTCATGAATTTAATGGAAACATATGGTGGATTCCTAACATCTGTATCACATCTAATGCATCATATATCAAACTTCCCAAAAACCCTGTAGAGGCTCAGAAAGAAAAGAGGGAGGCGGGTAGTACACCCATGGAAGAAGAAACAGAAAGGTGTTTGATCTTTAGATTGAAGACATTTCCAAAAAGAAGTATTGAAACTGTGTTTTTGTTCCTGCTTCTTCTTAGTTGTTTCAACAAGCAAGTCTTACAAAATGTATTATGCAACACCCAACTGAAACGTTTAATCTATGAGAAGAAAAACATGTTTTTCTTATGAGTTTGAACAAAGTATGCAATGTGTGAAAAAGGTGAAATTCTGTGAATTGTATACAGCGGGTTAGTTGCTGAGCAGACAAACAGACAAAGGTGATACCTCTGCCAACTTTCATGCAGATAAAAAAGCTTGTGTAAGTCAAGATAGAGTGAGTTCATCAACTAAGGGCACAGCACAGCACACTATTCTTGAGCGGATTTTTAATAATTAAATCTTATTTCCTCAACTTGCTGACCTGATTATTAAAAGCTTTACAAAGCATCGTCAACCTGAATACAAAATAATTGAGTCAATGACAACGATAAGCTGTATAGTAGTTGTCTCGCTGTAATATGGAGGATATTATAGCTAGACAACTACTATAAGGATAAGGTCAAGTGACTCCAGAGAAAGACTCAGCTGTCAGTTACTACTATCCAATCAAAAGCAACAATGCAGACCATTTGTTGTGGTGGAAATATTTCCACTGTGGTTATCACAACAACGCTACTGATTGCCTTAACACCACACCGCCTGGCTGTAAGCCTTTTTTTTTTTTCATGGGAGCTAAAACTAGAGCAACACAGTACACAGAAAATCAGCTGAGGCTGTAGGTGAAGTGACACACAAGGGTAGTTTGTCACCAAATTTGCAATTTAAATAAACATCCACAGAGCATCCTCTCAGGTCTTGAATAGCAGAGGATGGGTGCCTCAGTAGGATGCGTGCCACAGACGATTTGACTGTTTGTCGGCTTAATAGCGAGAGTGATGGTTCCTCTCTCTATTACCAAATGTAACTCTTGAAAATGAAAGCGTAAATTCTTGTATGACATATTGAAAGGGCCAGTATTGCACAAACAAAAGGCTGCTTTGAGGAACACAGAACTTATGTCAAATTCATTTTAATAAGAAGTGTGCTGTTTTGTGAAAAAGAAACTCAAGGGTACTTACAGTAATCACAGCTTTGCTAAGGCAGAGGGAACCCCGACAGCCATACTCAGTCTCATCCTGGGACTTGTAGTAGCTCAGTGTGTTGTTTTTCAGGACCACCCAACGGTCCTGCCAACCATGGATGTAATTTGTCCACTGGAAAAGAAAGCCCTTTAATCAATATCTTAAAAAAAGATACAAACATTAGCTCAAATATACATATATTAGCTCATATATATATATATATATATATTACATTACAAATATCAGTTAAAAATCTAAAAAATAACTTTGTGTTATTGCACTTCTCAGAAGACCTATTTATGAGATATGACATGTAGGATTTGAGGATTTATGATGTGTGCAGGGCTTGGTATAATTAAAAAGGTGAGCTTTACTGGATGCAGATCTGCTTAATCTCCCAATATGCTTGGTTAGCGGGTCAGCATGCAATCCGTTTAGAGCCAACCAGTGTACAGTGACATTAATACCACATTAGCTTGCGAGCAGCTTAACTCATTAAGACTGTGTTCATTTTGGCCAAAACAAGGTCTTGCACAAGTGAGAAGAAACATATGGCCAAATAGGTTACCAAGATTTGTCTAGCAGGAGACTTAACTGTCTGTTTACCCAAGAAAAACAGGATTGATGAACAAGAGCTGGTAGTGTTTGTTTTTTTACAGAGTTAACAGACGGTGTTTACGAGTGCCAGAAACCCAGCAAAAGTTTTCCTGTACCTTGCATATAGCTGTCAAAGCAATATTAAGACTGAACATGTGCACAATATAACACGTACACATGTTGGTAGTAGTAGAAAAAGCATTGAAATATTCAGCAGGCTTTATGTGATCACAAAGTACATTAGGGAAAAATACAAGCTGTCCTAATTATCAATAGTGGTGACATCATTGTGCAAACATGGCTACAGCTTACTGTGATCACCATTCACTTGAATATAACTGGTGCACAGCAGCTGTCAAATTAATATAACAGGTATACAATGTTACATGTACAAACCTGGAATAAGCTATCAACTTTTACCTACAACAGTAAGTGAGTCTATCTTAGAGGCTATGAGCTAATGTAGCTAGCTGCTGCATTAAATACCCCGCTGTCCAATTACAAAAGGGGGCTTTCCTTTTGCCTCAGTTGGGATTACCGGTGTAATATTGCTGAGCAGCAATGTGGAAATGTTGACAGGGAGAAAAGGATTCTGGATAACCCCAACACTCAACATAGACATTCTGTGATTTGTCGTAAAGCATTCCCATTATCACCTCATTTAACCCTGATATTCAGACACCTCCCTGACAGTTAAGCCCTCAGGATTTAGCAGTGACACTGATCAAGCGAACAACATTCAGGTTAGCCCAAAAACAATTACTTACCTTTAGTTGTCTAAAGTAACTAAGTAGTCGTAAGTAAATGTACTCAAGTACTGTACTAAAGTACTGTACTAAAGTACAATTTTGAGGTACAGTTACTTAACTTGAGAAGGTAAATGTTTTTGCTACTGTGTACGTTTACCCCACTACATTTATGTAGTACCTTTAGTTACTTTGCAGATTTTGTTAAATTATTTGAAATATAAATCAACATTTACATTAGATTTAAGTTACACCTGGAGTAACATTCACAATATACCTTGCAGTATACAAAGTAAAATTAGCTGCACCTTTTACTTGAGTAACATATGGATTGCATTACTTGTACTTGAGTATTCCTACACTGTGGTACTTCTACTTTTACTTAAGTACAATATCTGTGTACTTCTCCCTCCTCTGCCCTCAGGACTTGGCAGTGACACTGATGAAGCTTACTAAACCAAAAAAACATGACCCACCTTACTGAGGACTCCGCTTAAATCGACAATCCCAATCAGATGTCCAGACTCATCTCTGGGCTCCACGTCTTCCTCGGAACCGGAGGAGTTCCAGCTCTGGTTGTCTGACATGTTCTCGATGCTATTCAGCTAGTATAAACCGATACTAACTTGGCATATATAATGCTCAGGTGAGTTTAAGCTGACAGGACCTGAGTGAATAAGCGGCAACAGTTCAACGAATCATGTTTTGGTATTATACACCGACTAGTAGCTCTGAGGTTAACCCAAATAGAAGAAGCTAGGTAGCAGCCACCGAGTAGATAAACGACGGTAAGGTAAGCTAAACAGATCGACTCATGTTGTGGTTAAACAGGTAGCTAAGCAGTGTCTGTAACGGTAGCTTAACGTCGAGTTAAGTGTCAGAAAAGGATGAAACGCAGATAAATGTGCTCTGGCTAGCTTCAGCAGTGAAGCAGGTAATCCGTATCTGACTTTCAGAGAGACGGTGCGGCAGTAGCAGCGGTTGTTGTTGGTGCTTCTTCCCTCTGTTGACTGTTGACAGCTCTCCCGTTCAGCGCCATGTTTCAACTGACGTCTCGAGCTTCTTCTCGGTGGGTTAGCCCCTAGCGCGTGTTCCAACTTGTGTGGTGCGCAGGGGCGCTGGCCCTGGTGACGTCACCAAACACCCCTGCTTAACTGGACGCAGGCCCCGCCCCCTCCTCCAGTTTACAGTACTGAAAATAGACTGAGGAGCACAGGAAAATAGACCAGAGTAAATTATGCTCCAGATTCATGTTGGTGTTCAACTATTTTTGCACTTTTCAATAATATATATCTCTATCTCTTTATATAAATGCACAGCACTCCATAATAAAATTGTATAATTGCAGTTTGTCATATTTCAATGTACTTAGTTCTTTATATATTTATATTTGGTGTACATATTTGTTTAATTATCAACAAGGCCTGGGACCCACACTGACTTTTACCCCTTCCATAGACATTATGTATTAAATTAATGCAAATCATGTGAGAAAATATTTTAATCATTTTAATATTGTGAACCCTGCACATGCCTCTGTATACTTTGCACGTTTCTGTTCGATCTACCTCTTTTAAAATCTGCACAGCTCTCCACTTTACATTCCATACAGTACATGTTTTATTTGTATTTTTCATTATTGTCATATTTTACTGTACTTAGTTTTTTGAATATTTATTTTTTAGAAAATACTTTTTTGGGGTAGTATTCGTTTTTTTAAGTTGTTTCTTTTTTATTGTTATTTTAGTCGTTCTCTGACAATTTAATTGTTCTTACTGTGTTTATATATGCACCATACACACCAAAGCAAATTCCTTGTTCGTGTTAACCTACGTGGCAATAAACCTGTTCTGATTGTGGTTTCAAGTTACCTTTAGTACTTATTTCCTACCAACACAAACAAGAAGTTATAATACAGATGCAGTACAATTACTCGATTAAGTATAATTTTGAGGTACTTGGACTTTACACAAGTATTATTATTATTATCTTTTTATGCTGTTTTATACTTCTAACTACACTACAGAGGCAAACATTGCATTTTTTTAATCAAATACATCATTGTCACTGGTTACTTTTTACATATAAAAACAAATGATGCAGTACCATGGCCTGCCCTACTGCCTATCTACACAATAGTATTAGAAAGTACCATAACTCCAGATTGATTGAGTGTGTATCCAAAAAAATAAGCAATAATCAAATTAATAAAAAAACAACACATTTTCTCCTTTCAAAAATAATCTTCTTATCCTTAAAACCTTTCACCCTCTTCATTTTTATCAAGTGTTCGACGCTCACAAGGTCAGCTAATCTGCTTCACCAAGATAGTGTCAGTGAGGTGTGATTACGTTTTACTGACACTGTTCATTTGGCAACACATATTGATTATACTGTAGGTGCTAAACTAAATATAGGGAAGGACAGTTCGGTCCTGCAAGTGACTTCAAATCAGTGAAGAAAGCAAAGACAATAAACCTAAATACGAGAAAAAACGCTTGTGTGAAATAACTGAATATACTGTCCGAAAGTGTTGTCTTCAGATATGGCTATATTTCGAATCAGCTGATTGAGAAAATGTTTTTTCAGCGCCTTTAAAAGCTGTATATTCTGGGAAGAAACAGTTTATGCACCTTTGCACTAAAGAAAATGTAACTGTACTGCAGTCGTTAACAAATCATACCTTTTTCCTACACTGGGGGGAATATTTTCCGTCAATTAAATCATGATGAAATGAAGCACCTCCTTTTCATAATAAGGGCCTCCTGAGCCCAAGAAGAACCCCTGAGAGTTTCAGATTCACTTTACCAACCAGCGAGGACCGCAGTCAGGATCAGCACTTAGTGTAGAAATCTATGAGGTCTGTCCACAGGAACATTAGCAAATGAATGTGAGGTCAAACATATTATCCACTGAATACTCTATTTATGTATCCATGTTTTCATGGGTTTGTTGATCGCTGCTAATATCATGGGCTTTTAACCAGCCTGCACTCATAAATCAGAACATGTTGCTTGATTGCTTGCAAACAGTACAAACGTGTGCTGGTTTTCTTCAACAACTTTCTTCTCTGTTTGTTATAATGAGTGAAATTAATTCATAAAGTTTTTCCCTCTCTCAACCTTCTTTCCATCCTTGACATAAGCCTGTAGGCCTGTACTTATCTGAGAGTCATGTGATAATCCTTGTACGATTTAGCACATACACACTTCTTATAACACAAACATACTCACCCTGTCTCCTGATATTCAAACACCCGTGTTTCAGTGAGTAACCGGCCAGGAGAGGAGAGGAGAGCTTTCAGACATGTCATGGGTTTTGTGAGTGTGATGCACTTGAAATCATGAGACCTGCAACTGAAGAAACCACAAGACTTCCATTAGCTCCACAGTCCAACTCTTCTCTTCCAAGGAAAAGTCTGAGTGGCAGGAAGTGAGAGGCTTCAGTAAATGTAACATGTTTTTGAATGCTGAGCTCACTTACCATAACTTTACTTGATAGAAAATGAACACAAGAAATGTGTTAGTGGTCTCTGTAAATCAGACATGAGAGAACACTAAAGCAAAGTGGTTAAGAAAACAAGACAAGGCCTTCATCTTTCACACTAAAATCACCCACAGCCTCCCCTTTACTGCACATTTAATCTAAAAACAACCTGACAACCTGTGGTACACCCTGGGGAAGGCTGTGGAAATAACTGGTTGTTTGACTAGATCAGATTTAAACAGGTGATTCAATCATGGTGTCATAGAAACTGTTCGTTACCTAGTGAACTGTGATTCATTTAGAAGCCGGGAGCCAAGGATCATGACTCAGGCAGGGCTGATCAAGCAGTAATGTGATTAAATCACATCCTCGTCAGCAGCTCCAAGAAGGCAGAAAGGAAGGAAGCAGCTTGATTGATTACTTTACTCCACATTAATGTCAAACACTTCCTCATGGACATGAGTATTACAACAGAGTAAACTTAGATAAAGTTGTTGCTATGTTAATAACCTGACAACCACTGATTTAGAGTGGTTTGGTTGCACTTACAGTTTATATAAGTCTCAGAGTGGTGAGTATTTCAAAAGATATGTATGAGTAACAGGCTATTTTACACCAGCTGCATGTGGACGTGACTGCCGAGCAGGAGGACCGTCTCAGGAAAAATCTTGTGTAAAGAAACCCTCAGGAAATGTTGGACCAGCCTTCTTAACTTGCTGAGCCCTCTGCTGGTGGCCCCTGCTGTTAAATGCATGCTGTAGTGTAGACAATAAAAACATTGTGTGTGTGTGTGTGTGTGTGTGTGTGTGTGTGTGTGTGTGTGTGTGTGTGTGTGTGTGTGTGTGTGTGTGTGTGTGTGTGTGTGTGTGTGTGTGTGTGTGTGTGTGTGTGTGTGTGTGTGTGATAGAGTGGCTTTATCTCATCAAGCTGCGGCAGCTGTGACACTAATCCTGAAACCAAAACATCCTTTACTAGACAACTTGGAAACAGTTGCCAGGAAACCAGGAGGAAGTGCTAAAGTTGTGAGTGTGGCTTAATTGAACGGCAGAAAATGCCACCCAGTTAATTAGAAAAATGTATGCATTTGATATATGTTCACTGAGTCAATATACTTATTAAAATCGTTGAGCATATATCTTGAAAGTAAAAAAGGACAACGTATTTTTTTTCTTAAGTTGCATTACATGTCTGTGTTATAACAATAATAATAATAGTTATTAAAGTATATATTATATATCTCGTAATATAAAATATAATAATGTCCATACAAATAATATTAGCGACAATAGCAAAAATACATGTATTCATATCGTACTTTCTGAAAATGCACAAAATGTTTTGCAATAAAAAATAAATAAATACTAAACAATCAAAAGATAGAGGAGCAGCGCCCTCTGCTGGCTGAGGCTAGTACATACAGCATCATCACTAAGCTGCTGCAATACAAAAGTCTTAAAAATACTTTCAGCCACTTTATACAAAAAGCATAAGCCCCAAAGGTATTTATGAAGTATATATTTGAGCGCTTTAAGGTGAGAATGGAGAGACAAAGTGTTTAAAGTTTCAGCCACATAGACTGGTGTGGACTCATGCCTTATTGTATACTCTATTTTCTCTGCTTTCGTCTCAGAACAGATGGGAAATGTCTGCCTTAAGCTGCTCCACTTCCCTACTCAGCAACCAAATAAGAGACCTAATGAATTTATTTTTAAAAGTCACGGTACATTTCATTTCATTTCATTTCAAACCTTTATTTATCCAGGTGTATCCCATTGAGATCATTGATCTCTTTTTCAAGGGAGACCTGCTCAAGTAGGTTCCACATGAAACATAAAAACATAAACAGAACAACAAAAAGGACATCATACAGCATCATTACAGGGATTACAATTTACATAACTATCCACATGAACAGGTACCAACAGCTTCCGACTGAGTAGCATCCAACCAAGCTTTAAAAACATTTAGTGGCACCAGATTGCTCAGTTTCCATTTCAATTGCAGACTATTCCAAGACAGAGGAGCTGCGCATCTAAATGCTATCTTCCCTAAGACAGTCCTAGCAGTTGGCACATTTAATAAAACCACAGCATGCGATCTCAGGCAGTAGCCACTTACAATTCGCCGTGAGATCAGGGACCAGATGTAGGATGGAAGTTTCCCTAACATGGCTTTGTATATAAAAATGTACCAGTGACTGAGCCTCCGTACAGTTAGCGAAGGCAAACCAGCCCTTGCATACAGGGTACAGTGATGAGTTAATGCTTTACAGTTTGTCACAAATCTCAGTGCACTGTGATACGCAGCATCTAACTTGACCAGGCAATTGGCAGGTGCATTCATATAAATCAAATCACCATAGTCCAGCACAGTACACTCTACAGTACATCTTCTCATTAACTCAGATTAGCAGTAAATTAATCAGTGTTGCTATAGTTTCTTCTTTTAAATAACCTTCTATTCACTTGTGCTAGACTCCAATTAGCCTATATGAACCCTTACCTCCAGTAATCCTTGATAAGAAAATGTGTATGAACCAGCAACCTCGGTGTATTGGTTTTGTGTAAAAAATACTTGCTTATAGGTTTATAGACAGTTTGAAAGAGTTGTCTAATGAAT